ACTCAGGAAGCCTATGTATGGAAGGATTCTGGGCATCACCTATAGATCTTAGAAGAAAGGCGCCTGTCCCTCCAAGGCTTCAGGAATTTGTTGGTGATTTATTTCCTCATTCTAAATGCCTATTCATTTTATTTTTGTATTTGTAATTGCATATTCCTTTTCTTTAAAAGGACCCCCCCCCCAAACTGTATAAACTTCAGGTCCCAGCAAACTGAGATCTTCCCCTGCAGACAGTGGAGGATCTATGTGAAGTCTGTGAGCATAAATCTACAGTGGTGCCTCTCATCTGGCTGCGATTTGCTCCACATGGCTGCTTGGGTGCAGGAGTCAGAGATGGACTCATCTAGAAGGGCTCTGTGAGATGGGAGTGTGTTATTGGAAATGGGGGAAGGGGTGGGAATGAAGAAAGAAGAGTTCTGATAGATCATGGAAGAGCAGAGATGTTGATAGACTAGAATAAGCTGTTGAGAAAAAAGAACAATTGCACAGGAAAAAAAAACAGAAAAATCAAGTTGGAAGATACATGGTAAAACTGGGATAATGGAGATGAATGGGGCAATTTTTTAAGGTCACAGGAGATAATACAGTCATGGTCATTTGCTTTAAGGAAAAGTCCGAACTCAAATATATCTCTAAGAATCTGCACAATCTGCCTTATGCCTCCTCTATAATCTTACCCAGTGCCGAGTCTCTCACTTTGGGGCTATCTTCAATCAGTTCTTTAGAAGCTCCATCCAGCCTAAGGACCTGAACATCTGGAAGTTTCTTTTTTTGTCTGGCTTCTCCAAGCCAGACCAACTTCTGCTTGTCTTGAGGATTTCATTTTAAAGTCTTTTCCTCAAGGGAATCTTTCCCATCACACCCATCCCTACATTCAGTGGGTAGATCCTCTATTACATGCCCAAACAAGACTTCATATTTTCTTCCACAGCATTTATCAACTAAATTATAGACATTATGGGGTTAATTATTTATGAAAAGGTGTGATTTTTTTTTTTCCCTCTCCAGATGAGGGCAGGAACAAGTCTGGCTTTCCTCTCTATTGTATCTCAGATCCTTAGGGACTTGCAAATACAAGACACTCCATAATTATTTGTTGTATGAATAAAATTTAATATTCTATGTATAATAGTTTTCCCCAGCATGCTATTTAATGCATAAAGATATAAAATGTGAAATAATAATCTAAAATTGGCATATAATGTAAAAAATAATATGTATTTCTTTTCAAAAAATACTATACATACCAGACACACTTATCTTCAACTTCACCTCATTGCTGATCTCTACAAATACTAGTCTAAAACTATACAGTAGAAGATAGGAAAATTATTTATGAAGATTCTTAGATAGAAATGAGATAATCAAATGCCTTATTTTTTTTAAATCTTTTTTTTAAAGAGAGAGAGAGAGAATTTTTTTTTTAATATTTATTTTTTTTACCTCTCGGCGGACACAATATCTTTGTATGTGGTGCTGAGGATCGAACCTGGGACTCACGCATGCCAGGCGAGCACGCTACCGCTTCAGCCACATTCCCAGCCCCCAAATGCCTTATTTGAAATAAAGAAAAAAATATACTGGAAATTTTAAAGGCAAACTAATATAAGATATATTACAAATTTCCATTTAAAAAGGACTTTAGATAAGAGTGGAGGGAGTGGGTGTGGTCCATGATGTAGTCAAGGACCTTTGTCTTGTCACCATCCCAGAGCCTAATTTCTTGCTATAGTCTGTAATATTTTCAACCACAGAGGAACCCCTGAGTGTGAATGTTCTGTTAATAAGGAAATGCCTGTGGTTATTTTTTCCAGAAACGGTCATTTATGGCCTCATATTTTTAGCACTTTTGTCTGATTATTTCTATTATCTTCTAAAATTTGTGTTGAGGCTTTGTTTCAAATATATTGTGAAATGTAGCTTTATTACAGGATCATGTTAATTTCAGGACTAGGTATAATAAATTTGCTGAAGCCAAGAGTTAGTTGCTCAAGAATGGACTAGTCTTAATAATGATAATTATTAATACTTTGACTTAAATAGTATTTACATACTGCCTGTGGGAGAAATGGAATGCAAATTTGATGATTTATTTTCTTTTGGAAGAGTTATATGTAATATGTAAGAGTTATATGTAACACATGATGTGCTTATATACTTAAAAACGAATCTCTTTGGTGTATTAGCTGCCACAAAATTTCCACTCACTTGTGTTCTAAAAAGCCTTAAACTTAAAAAAAAAAAAAAAAAAAAAAAAAAAAAACAACACAGAGTTCTTCAACATCATCTACATTGTGCCCAGTATTTAAAATTCTATCATTTCTAATTTTTATTAAAATTCTGCAAAATTGGTATTAAATCATTTTCCATTCCGCCTACTAGAAAACCAAAGCTCAGAGACAGTACAATTTGACCACTAAACTGATGATCTGAGAAAATGAATTCAGATGTGGAAGAAACTCAGCCTCTGTAATACTCTGTGTACCTCCCAAATGATGACGGTCTCTAAACCCCAATGAACCAGGCCTCTGCAGGTGTGTTGTCTATAAAATATATATATTTTTTTGGTATGGGGGATTGAACTCAGGGGCACTCACTGAGCCACATCCCCAGCCCTATTTTGTATTTTATTTAGAGACAGGGTCTCACTGAGTTGCTTAGCATCTCGCCTGTTGCAGAGGCTGGCTTTGAACTCCAGATCCTCCTGCTTCAGCCTCCTGAGCCACTGGGATCACAGGTATGCACCACTGTGCCCAGCTTAAAGATGCTTTTGTAGAAAAACTGAAGACAGCATTACAATACTAGCTTATTCTCTGATAATAACTTACTAGATTACTTAAATAAATTATATTTTTGAGGTGTTCCCTGTGATGACACTATTAGAATATTAATCCAATGAAGAGTGACTGAATGATGAAGTATCATGGGGGCCTCTTGTCAATGTCTCAGCTTGGGGACTGGAGCTTGCACCATCAGTAGTTTCTTTCTTCCCTATTTGGAGATCACTTGGGGGTCTCCATTTGGGCTCCCTAAGACTAATCCTTTTGCTGCTTACAATTATTCCTTTTAATTAGTCCACAAAAGAAACCTGATTCATTCATACTCTCTCTCTCTCTCTCTTTGTTTTTTCAACTCTGACTCTGGCCAAATGCTTCCTTGACCTATTACAGAAGTAATGAATGAGACTGCCCTCTCATCCTTAGTCCCACCCATTATTCTCTCACCTTGAGCCATTTCTCAGGAAACACGTTAATGACGACAAGCTGTAGTTCGGTCAACACTGCTTGCTATCCCATGCCACCACCTGCATGGATGCATTTAGGGTTCCTCACCGACCCAGCACTAGCTTTCTTAAGGTCTTGTCACCAACCCAGCATCTAACCTCTTACTACAATCTACAAGGTTTTAAGTGTAGAAGACTGCTGAATATGAATGTATGTCAATAAGGAAACGGTTGTTTTTCAGAAATGCTCCTTTAGCTCTTCGTATTCTTATTCTTAGTATTTTTATCTGAAAAAAAAATTATTCTAAAATTTGTTTTGGGTCTTTGTTACAACTAAATTGGTAAGTATATTTCTATTACAGGCTGTGTTAAATTCAGGACCGGGTATAATGATTATAAAACACACACGAGTAGGCAAATAGAACTAGGACACTTAGCAAAGCTTCCCTTTCCAATCCGACATCTCCAGGGCAGATTTTAAGCAAATACAAAGCCAAATGGAAAAAAACAGGCAACAAACAAAGGGAGTGCGAGACCTTAACGTGTCCCACAGACCCACTCAAGTCCTTCGACCCCACTAAGCGCTCCCACCACTCTGGCAGGACTGCTCCGGGACCAGCCCGCGGCCGTCCTGGTGTCCCCCTCTGTCCTCTCTAGGCTGGTCGCCATGGCGCGATGCCTCGTCCTCCTGGTCGTAGCCTTTCAGTCTCGCGTGGTGGGGATCGCCGTGTCCCACTCGGCCGTTTCCCCTTTCAGGCTGTCAAGTGGAGAAAACGCTCAAAACTCCCGATCCGGTGCCCAGAACAAACTCTGAACTGACACCCGGGCAGAGCCAAGATGGCAAACCCGGACGGAACGCGACAACGTCCCTCGCTTCTCCCGGCTCCCGAGCCCCGCCGGCTGTCCTCCCGAGGCCTCGGCAGTCTTCCCGGGAGCGCTCCGGGGCCGGCCGGGGGCCGCGGGAGGCCGAGGACCCTGCTCCCGCGTCCCGGACTACAGATCCCAGAGTGCCTCTGGGACTCCGCGCCCTCCCTCGCCGCTCCCTCCCTCCCTCCGTCCGTCCCCTCCTCCCTCGGCCCTTGTTGTTTTGGCTGGAAGCGCTCCGGTGGAGTTTCAGAGAAAGTCTGGGCAGAAACCAGAGCCGGGCACGAACGTGGGGAAGGGAGGGGGAAAGGGAGGAAGAGGGGCCCGGAGCCCGGGAGGTGGCGGGAGTGGGACCCCGGGCCGCGCCGTTCAGAACCAGCCGCGCGCCCCGGGGTGGGGGAGGCGCGGGGAGGAGCGCGAGGGGACGGGACAGTGGGATTCCTCCCAGGAGCAGAGCCGCCCAGCGCCTCGTTCCTCCGCCGCTCCCCGCCCTCCTCGGCGGCGGTGAGGGCGGACCCACCCTCCCGCCAGACCTGGGACCTCCGCATCTCCCCGCGACGCCTCGCGCTTCGCCGCCCTTTCGGCGGCTCCCTCGGTAGCCCGGGACCTGCCCTGCGTCCCCTGCCCCGAGGAGCTTCACGGCTTCTCTTTTCCTCTCGGCTGCCCAGGCGCCGCGGAGAAGCGACCCACCCTCCCCGGAGGAGAGGGAAGGCGAGGATCGCGACCGGCGCACCGAAACCGAGAGCGGGCGAACCGGAGTGGGCACCGCACAGGGCGTTTTGTGTGTGTGTGTGTGTGTGTGTGTGTGTGTGTGTGTGTGTAGCGTTGTGTCTGCTTTGGAAAGCGCTCTGGGGAGGTCCTGTCCCTAGGGGGCGGAGCGCAGGGGACCGAGGCTCCCGCTCCGTGTCGGGGCAGAGTCCCGCGGAACACCAGCGCTGCCGAGGCTGCGGGCGGGACGGCGCGCCTGGCGGCAAAGCGGGCGCACTGAAGGAAGGTCGGCCAGTCCTCCGCCCAGCTCGGCCCCGCTCGCTTTCTGCTCACGTCGGCGGACCTGCGGAGGGGAGGCTCGAACGCACCGAGCCAGCGCTCCGTGGAGCCCCGCCGCCCCGTCGAGGAGAGAGCGAGGTCCTGTTGGCTGCGCGCTCTGCAGGCGCCTGCTGTATCGGGAGCGCGCCCACCGACCCCCAGCTGCCGGCTCGGAGCCCGACAAGCGCGCACCATGAGCGGCGGCGAAGTGGTCTGCTCCGGGTGGCTCCGCAAGTCTCCCCCGGAGAAAAAGTTAAAGCGTTATGTAAGTAGAGCTCCGGCCACGCTCCGCGGCCTCGGCGCCCACTCCCCTCCCCGGCCCGCTCGCTGGCTGCTGAGGTTTCTTCGCATCCCGGTCTATTTGCTCACGGCCCCATTCCAGGCAGGCTCTGCACCCGCTGCTGTTCACTCACGCCCTGGCGTCCACTTGGCCGGGCAACTTTCTTTATCCAGATTACAGACTGCCTGCTCCTCCAGCCCCATAGCCCCAGGGGAGGGCCCAGATCTCCAGCTCACATATCTGCATATTTTTGTTATTCTTTTTAGCAGGGGTGGGGTGTGATGGGGAGATGAGCCTTTTTCTTTATATCTGCATCTAATTATGATGGTACTGACGGGTACTACATTTCCCGCACTAGGTAAGCCGCTGAGATTTTAAAACTAACCCGTCTTCCCTTAGGTCCGCACTCCCTCACTCCAGCCCCTCCGGGTGGGTTGGAGGGAAGCGCGCGATGGCCCTGAAAAATGGACAGTCGAGGCAGCATCTCAAATGCGCGCACGAGGGAAAAAAAGAAAAGATATTAGGCGTCCTAACGTTTGCATTTTCGCGGTTTTGAATTCAGGGACATTGGAGTTTGGCCCGTGAGCCCTGCCGGTTTGATGCAAGAGGAGGGCGCTGGGGGGAGCCTAGTGGCTGGTTTTTGGGAGCTTTGGACGCCTTGTTAAGCCCCGCCAGGAGGGGACAGCTGAAGCCAGCAGGGATTTCTGTGTGTTGTGATTCTTTCCCAGGGCACCAGAATGGCTTAAATGGTATTTGTGTAATTGATACAAGATGTTGATTATGTGTTAAACCGTTTTAGTTGTTAGGAAAAATATTCCTTGAAAGAACCAACCTCACGTAAATGGGGATCTGAGCCCTCTTCAGGAGCTTGGGACCTTATTTGCCCTCGCCATCAGTTCTTTTGTGGTTGCTCCTTGAAAAGGAGAAAACTGACACTTTTGCCCTGGCATCTGCAGCAAATTTTTCTAGTAAAATGCACTTCCAGAAGCAAGATTTTACTCTCTTAAATATAAGTTCATTACCTGTACTAATGGAACCTGTTTCTATTGAAGGATATCTACACCCAATACTGAGCTCTAAGGTTAATCTTATTAGTCACTGTTTGCTTGCATAAAATAGAGTGAAGTGCAATATTTAACTTTACTGACAACTCAGCAGTGAGTTTCTGGTTTATTTTCTGCCACAATTTGTTATAGACAAGTAATTTCATTGAGGAACTCCATGTTGCACATCATGAAGCTCTCCAGACAATCACTGGATACTTCCAGATTCTCTATCAGTTTGTCTGAGTATCCTGGTAAAGATGCTAACTTTAAAATTTTGAGTGAGCAGTTGTTTGTCCAGCTCTTAGTTTTAAAGACAATGTATATGTGAGAGGGGAGCGGCTAGGCAGATAGAGATACTTGTTGAGAAGGCACAGTTGGATCCTTGGGCAATTAAATAACACATTTGCTGAACTAGATAGTGATAACAGATATTTAATGCATTCTTTCACATGGTTTATGGCTCTTCCAAAAGGCACTTGAAGCACCAACCATAAGTTTACAAAATACAGTAGGATAAAAAGCCCTGCCTCTTGGGCATGCAGTTTAATGTATGTAATATTAACCAGGAAAAAGATTGTCTTAACGAGAACCAAAAAAAAAAAAGGAAAGTCTCTAAATATATACATATATATGTGGGGGGTGTGTGTGTACATATATAATTTGATGATTACAGCAGTTTTCTGAAATAGGCTTCTTATACGTTTTACAGCAGAGAAAACAGGTTCAATAACCCAAACATGCCAGACGTGGGATTTGAACCCAGATCTGCCTGATTGGGTTATAAAAGGTTAATGAGTCTCATCTAGTTCATTTCAAATGTGGAGCTCTGACTAGGTCAACTTAAAGGTCCTTTGAGATTATAACTTGCTACGAACCTATGAATAGAAGTTGAGAACGCAGGGTGCTAAGGAAATACATGACCCAGCATTTGCCTTCAAGAAGCTTTAAGAGTCTTTGCCACAAGATAAGCATGTGTGATAAAGTTAACCATGAGTGCATAGTGTTTTCTGTGTGTCCAAGTTGAACAGTGTGGATAATTTTATCAATGTTTCAAGGAACAAGCTCAGTATAGCCTGAAATAGTGAAAATATACTTTTTTTTTTTGTTGTTCCAGGGATTGAACCCCAGGGGCGCTTGACCACTGAATCACATCCCTAGTCCATTTTTATTTTTTATTTCGAGACAGGGTCTCGATAAATTGCTCAGGGTATTGCTAAATTGCTGAGGCTGGCTTTGAACTTATTATCCTCCTGCCTCAGCCTCCTGAACCACTGGGATTGGGTGGCATGTGCCACCATGCCCAGCTGAAACTGTGGAAATACTTGAGCGATACCTACATTGTGTTTCAGCACGCTAGGAATATGCCTAACGGCTGGGATAACCAGGGATATCTTGTTTGGTGGGACACTTCTGTTGTCATTACTCATTAGAGAAATAGGTGTCCAGGAAGGTGGTCCAGGAAGACAGTGGGGGAGATGGCTATCAGGAGTTAAGGGCTAGGAGGATGACATGGAGTGTAATTGTAATTTAAACAAGTCTTACCTTAAATTTTATCTGTCAGGTTAGTTGTATAGAAGAGTTCGGATATTCTCAAATTATTGATGTTTTGATTTTGGGATCCAGTTCTGGTAGTTTTTGCTAAAGCAGCATTGACCATTGAAGATAGAGACAGATATACCTGCGTTTCCTGTGCTTGATTTCTTTTTATGTCGAATCTTTATTTTCTGGATAAAAAGAAACTTTGTAGGCTACCCAATAGGCAAAATGTTGCTGGATAATGGTTTTAATTTTTTTACTTTTATTTCTGGGGTGCTGGTGATCAAACCCACATGCTAGACAAGTGCTTTGTTGTTGCGCTACACTCGAAGCCATTGATAGTGGTTTCTAATGAGCTGATTCACTGTGAAAAGCTATCTTGGATGCATGGTACTGTAATTATTCAATGAGACTTTAGGGAGTTTGAGCATTATGATTCTGCTGGGAAATATGTTGCCCGTGGGACTTTGACAGTTGTTTCACTGTTTACAATATTTATAAGGTAGTCCAAACACTGATTAAGATGATCGTTTAAAGCTTATGAGTAACAAAAAAAATTGTTTTAGGCTTATCTTTAAAGCCATCTCAAATTATGGCCCCCAGTGAATTCCATTTGCAACTCCATGTTTGGTCTGCCCTTTCTGTCACCTCCAGGAGCACTGTTTTCTTCACATAGTAGCTTGCTCATCTTATGTGGAAAGCTTTCTTGGATTTCCTGAAGAGAGTGAAAGTGACATAAGATTAAAAGAAAGTAAGAAAGACTTGGGCTGGGGATGTGGCTCAAGCGGTAGCGTGCTTGCCTGGCATGCGTGCGGCCCGGGTTCGATCCTCAGCACCACATACAAAACAAAGATGTTGTATCCTCCGATAACTAAAAAATAAATATTAAAATTCTCTCTCTCTCTCCTCTCTTTAAAAAAAAAAAAAAAGAAAGACTTGAGCACATCTGCCTCTCCCCCATCTTCTCTTTATTTTTTCTGTATTTGCAAACAACCAAGAACCTCTTATATGTATTTCTCTGTGAAGTTTTTAAAGTTTGCTTAAAATGCAGGTGAAATTTTCCATGCTTTTTTCCTGTTTTCTTTTGTTACTCCCTTGTTGCTATCTGCATCCTGTGTTATACATTAAACAGCTGCTTTTTTACTTGGTTCAGGGCCTGAGTGGAATTATATACAGTAGGGTTACAGATAAGTAAACTGGTAGTCTGCACTCAACAGTAGTACTTAGTTTTTGTTTTTAATTTTGATTTAAATTTTTGTAACTGACACATAATAACCATACGTTATTTATGGGGTGATAATTTGATGCATGTATGCATTATATAACGATCAAATCAGCATAAATAGCATTTTCATATGTTTAAATATTTGTCATTTCTTTCTGTTGGCAACCTTTGAACTCCCCTCTTATGGTTCTTTATAAAATAAAAAAAATAACTGTTGTAAGTATTCAGGTTTTTAAAGAGCTGTTAGAAAAAAAGTAATGTTGAATTTTCATCAGGAGCTAAAATTTAGCTGAAATAAAATGTAAGGCTGTAAACAAAGGATTGCTTCAAGCCAGCTGGCTACCACCATGACTCTGTGGGAGGAGTTTCCCTGTGGCCTGCCTCAAGCCTGGACACCAAGCTGGGGCTCCTCTATGGCCCATGGCCTGGCTATCGGCCTTGGGCAGGTGTGCAGTCTCAGCAGGAGAACCTGCTTCTGAGGCTGCAGCCAGGTGTCCTGTTAGCTGACAGCCAGCCCTGGGAGCCAGGGCTCACCCAGTTCTTGGGTAGGTAATCTGTACCCAGCTGGAGCTCTGTCTGCTTTGCAGCTGTCAGTTAATAGGAGAGTTCTTGTCTGGACTTCGAGAACACAGCCTTGGTTCTGGAAATGGGCCTAGAAACAGAAATAGCCTCTCCCACTGGGTGGGCACCTGACATCTGACATGGAGGAGGGGATGTTTGGCAGGTGGAAGCTCAGCATCTATCTCCTTGGTGCAAGGACAGCCGAGGACCTGTGCTAAACATGAGGTCCCTACTCAACAGTGTCACTACAACAAAGAGGACTGAAATGTCTGGAAGCTCCTCCTGTCCTTGTTTTTTTAAAAACAAAACAAAAAACTCATTTATTTATTTATTTTTGATTGCCAGCAGCAACCAACAGATTCTGAAGCTTTTGCTTACAGTGATTGAAGGAGCGTAACAGTGTGGAAGGAAATTTTTTTCTTGCTATCTTCATGTTGGTAAACAATTCAAATTCCTAATGTTTTCTTTTTACCTTTTCAAGTGTGGCAGGACTATTGTTTCCATTAACAAAGATCTTCAACTAGCAATTACATTAAGCCTTTATAATAGTTAATGATAGTTAATTCTTTTGTTGTGCCTAGGCTTAATGAAAAGTAGAAAACTCTAAATCTAAAACT